CGATGATGCTGGTGGTAGCGGTGGTGATAAAGATGATGACATGATGGTGATGGTGATGATGAAGATGGTAGGGCAATGCTGGTGCTGGTGATGATCATGATAATGAACTAATACTAATTCAGTTGTTGCAGCTGTTACTGATGTTGAGGTCACTGATGCTGCTGTCGCTGATGGTGATGTTAATGATGATAATTGTAGTGATACTAATATTGTGGAGATTTGATGATGCAGCGAAACCACAATCAGGTGAAAGGACAGGGCAATATGTTTGCCTCAACTCAGTCAGTGTATACTAGCCAAACGACAGACCAACTATTTTTTCCTTTAATGAAATTAATGCCGTGTGTCAAGCAGAAAAGAAATGCTAATACTGAAATGCCGAGGATCGAACCCCCGACCTTCTGGACCCAAGCCTAGGCCTAGGCCTAACTACAGCACTGGGCCGGTCTGGGCCTTGGGTGTCGCATTTCCCCCCAAGCGATGTCGAAGTTCCCCACAGTGGTGTCGTCATTGGAACAACCGGTGTCGAAGTTCCCTTCACAGGGAATTAGAACAACGTAGTGTTGGGCTTTAGTCGATATCGATATCGGGTACTCATCGATACTGGTTCCCTTAGTCGATACTGATCAGGGCAATGAGTGTTACGGTGTTTGCCGCCTAATTTGCATGATATCAGAGAGAAACGTGCTGTCTACGATCACCCGTCTTTTGTTTCTAAATAGGCTTGGTCATGTTGAGAAAGAAGAAGAGCACTGTTTGGAAACATTCTGAAGAGCTTCCAGGAAACAAAGAGGCCAAGTGCCTTGTTTGTATTCAGTGTTGCTACTTTGTTTTTTTTGTTTCAAATAAAAATAAAAGAAAACGCATTAAAAAAAACAATGAACAAAAAATAATAATAACAACAAAAAGATCGCATCCTACTACTGGGTACACAGGCAGTAGGGCCTGGTAAGCCGAATGACTGACACTGTGACCTTTGACCTTTCATTTGTTAAAGCGCTTCAAGGAAACAATACGGTCAGCACTATTTTTAGCATTTTGTGACGTCACAGTATCGATATCGAGTATCGATCGATACTGGGAACGCGGGTACCAGATACTACCCGATACTAGCTAATATCGATTAACGCCTAACACTAGAACAACGGGTGTCAAAATTTTAAATTACGCACCCCACATGCTTTAAGAGAGGAGAGGAATACAATCAACTTGGCAGGCACATTCACTTGTTTTACTTGGCTATATAGAAATCTAGATCTATAGCCTATTTTATGTATTGATATTAGATTCTATTATAATGTAATGGTAAATTTTTACTTTCACTCCCGCACACAGATGCACTGTTTCAGGGGTCAAACTGTTGTACTGTTTGCTGCAGATCACACATAAAGCCACTAAAACTGTCGCAAATCAATTATTTTCAAGACAATTTCAAATCTAACTGTAAAATATCAAAGTATGGGGGTAAAAACAAGGGGGGCGTAACCCCCCAGATTTTCTTTTACCCCAGTGGGGCAGGCCCCCCTGGAACCCCCCGATTGGTCCAAAGCAAGTCTATCTCGGTTAAAAACAATCAAATATTTCAAAAACTATTAATTTGCGACGGAAATGAAGTTGATATTCGTGTTCAGCGCATCAATATTTAGATCTAGATTCTAGATCTACCATCTAGTAGAAAATAGACAACTGGTAGCTGAGTGTGAGACGGGAGGGAAAGTAAAAAAATACCAATGTAATAATTCTAGTCTAGAATCTACCAAATACAACCTGTCACGACCTGTGAGACTGTGAGCTTCAGAAAGAAAGAGAACAAGATGCAGAGGCAATCGTCGTCAATCGAGAGAAAATGAAAGGAAGCAAACCTGTCGTTTTAGAAATCGTCCAACAACAAAGGCTGCAACAATATGACATAGTTACTAAATATAACTCTGAGCCGGACCCACAGAACTCCTTGGGCCGGACCCGGTCCTTCAAGGTCTTGGCCCGGTCTCTGGAAAAACCTCTTTTGGTTGTGGCAGAATTGTACTCTGATTGTTGTTACTTCCTTCTTGTTGTTATTAGATCCTTATCAAACCGGAAGTATCGAGGGGGCGGTGTGTTCCTTATTTATAGCAGAGACTATGTCTCTGTTCAAAGTTTATAGGCTTAGTGTGGTCCATTTGAGTGAGGTCAAAAATTCGTGGCGCAACTTATCCTCAAATATAATATCTTTTTTACTTAAACGGGTGAGAGTCAATGTCAGTAGAACTCTGTGTGTCACCCATACTTTGCACAGCAGTTTGTATCAATGTGTCTGAACTTAAATCATATTTTCCACCACAGTTAAATTGAGGCTATATTAGAAAACTTTTCTTCATTAATTATATTATATATATTAGTATTAATAAAGGCATTTTCTAGAAAGAGAGAGACAGAGGGAAAGAGAGAGAGAGAGAGAGAGAGAGAGAGAGAGAGAGAGAGAGAGAGAGAGAGAGAGAGAGAGAGAGATGGGGGGGGGGGGGGATAATGATCCGATTTTGATATGACCATTGTTTTCGTTTTCTAAGCGTAAATCACATTTCAAGGCCTCAAGTGCTGTTCTCCAAACGAGGTTATGTAAATACAACATAACATGGATAACTCGAATTCATCAGGACAGGCCTCGGTAGTTCGAGGAATATGTGAACGGTGTTATGGCATCGGCTGTATCACAGAATCGATGTAAGCAACAAAGATTGGTTGGGTCGAAACTGAGATTTTTCTTTTTTTCAGCCATTGTTTTAGATCAGATAGGTTAGCAGGGGCGAAGCGTCTATATAATCAAATAATCACTGCTTCCCTTTCTAATTTTGAAACATTGTCGCTGTCAAATTCATCCTTAAACGTAAACCTCATAAATTAAATGTCAAAAGACGTTCATAATCAACAAATAAAGTGAGGCTGGAATAGAGTTGAAGGGAACATGTGCATGGCAGTCAAAGCTGTTTCATTGCCACATATACCCTGTTCACCCCTTTGGGGCCACAGTTAAAATCAATCACCAGCCCTGATTAAGTAAGCTAACTAACACTGGTCGAGTCTACCTCACAAATGTGAGGGAAACTAACTCTTAATAATCTCTTGACTGCTGCTTGTGCTTGTTGTTTTTTTCCTCGACTTTTTACCGTCCTATAATCAGATCGTGACCTCGATTATGACACCAGCTCCTGGCCGCGAAAGGCTAACAAAAACAGCCAAATGTGAAATTTAAAAAATAATAATTGTCATGTCCTACCAAAGAGTTAGACTCACTGGTAGATCTATAACATATAGATCTAGTACTGACATCTCTGCTTCTTTGCTTTATGTTTATGTATTCACATCTAAAGTTAAGTTTAATTTTAGTGGGAACTGATATTTAATAAGATACTTTCCCGATCATTTTGGCGGTTGAACATACAATATGAATTCCGGATTTGTTTTCATTCACAACTCAGAGTCGCCGCCTCGAGTAAGATTCTTGTGTGATATCTACATGCCCTATCTGGTCCCATTTCACTTTGATTACCCTGTCAAACAAGTCAGCCTTCGCCCCTGTAGGTTAGATATATGTCTATTGACTTGAATTTGAAATTTGAGAGAATTTGACATTTATAATGTTTAGAATGAGCAACAGGATGAGAAACGCTTTCGAGCTCGATCGTTACTGACCCTACCGGTAGCCTACCGAGACGACAGTTTGATTGCGCGGGTCAGTGTGAGCGGTCTTTATTATATTCTGCACTAATCGAGCTGTGCCTTTTCCATTTTTTGCAAAACATAAAGAAGTTAACAAGATGAGCATATCGCAACAGTAATCAACAATGCAACGATGAAACAATGCTACCCTACCCCGCCTCTACCACCAATTAAGTGCCCCGTCCTTTGCAAAGAGGGGTGAGGCAGCCAATCGTCAGATGCACAACCCCTCCTCTCGCCAGCTCCATACAAGCCTTCTTGACGCAATCAACACGCGAGTGTCGAGCAGCACGCTAAAAATAGTAGAGCAAGCTGCTTCTGTGGAAAGGGGGGGAGGAGAGGGTATCAAAGATTCTAAAATCTTTGGTGGTATTTCACCTACCTTGCCTTTTTGTGATTATTATTATTTGGTCTCAAGTGCACCTCAAAGGAATTCGACTTTATACCTATACGGTGGTGTTATTAGTTCAACTATTCCGTGTTTGTGTTCGAGCTTCGCGTAATTTTTTCTACAAAGATAAAGAAGAAGAAAAAACGAGACCGGAGGCACAGTTCGATGGACGCGTGATTTCGAGTAATTTGTGTTCAACCTTTGAGAACAGCACAAAAGCAGGCTTCGACATTAACACTAAGAAAACAAAAACAATGGTCATATCAAAATCAATTATTGACAAAACTCTCTCTCTCTCTCTCTCTCTCTCTCTCTCTCTCTCTCTCTCTCTCTCTCTCTCTCTCTCTCTCTCTCTCTCTCTCTCTCTCTCTCTCTCTCTCTCTCTCTCTCTTTCTGTCTCTCTCCATGTATACATAATAAATACATATATATATTTATATATATATATATATATTTTTATATATATATATATATATATATATATATATATATATAGGCCTATACATATTATATTAGAGTTAGAGTATAAAAACACTACTTGTATTTGCAGAAATAACGCAATCAGGCATCCAAAAGCTTTGCGGAGAAATAACTGTTACTGCTGCTTTAACGCTCTGCCGTCTACCGGAAGTTATAAAGTTGCAGACAGCAGGAGAGCTTTATTTTTTCATTGATTTCCGAATTGATTAACTGTTGGTTGTGTTATAAAGTGATGTGTTCATAATTTGTAGATCGTTGCTCCCTAATGCTAGATCTAGTCTAGATCTAGACTCTAGATCCTTTACAAAGGCATGCTCAATTTTCAGATTATATTAATATTGTGATTCATGTCTAGATCTAGATTAGATTCTAAATATATAAAAAAGGATTAGACTTGAGTTTGAGTAATTTTAATAGTAATACTAATCTAATACTATTAGACTAATCTAGATTTCTCTAGAATAGATTTAGTTGCTCACTATTTGTGTGTGTGCAATTGCTGTGTCAGTCAGGCGAAAAGACTTGAAAAGAGAATCAGAATGTCCCGACGGAGGGACAGCGGAGACTTGGGCCGCTATGGCTATGGGGGTTACCGTGTATATGTGGGAGACATCGGCCAGAGAATTGGAAGAACAGATTTAGAAAAAGAATTTGGGCAATATGGTCCTGTTACAGACGTTTGGATGGGACGAAGGAGAGACCCGTAAGTTTCATGTTACATTTAGATCTAGATTTCTAGATCTACATGAAGCTGCTGCGAGCACCTAGAATCTAAATCTATATCATCATTATATTATATCGAGATCGATAGGCTTGGGCAGAAATGCTAAAAATAAAAATATAGGCATTGCAAGTCTCAAATCTTAACACCTTGAGACCCGCAAGTCTCAAGCCCAATTCCAAGTCCAGGAAACCTGTATATAAAACGGAAATCTGTCTTAACGGAATCTCCCTGCTCCCCCCTTGATATAAAATCCTCTTTAATTGTATTACCTGATAAAACGGAAACCTGTCCAACGTGGAAACGGAAAGAAAAATCCGTTCCCTTCCGATGGTTTCACCTGTCTAAGACGGAAATTTCTTTGCCCGCTCAGCCCTGATTTGAAACAAAACTTGCAAGTTTGGTTCCGCCTCCTCTACACTTAACGCTATGGCCATGCCGCTGGGCAAGGAAGGGGAGTAGGGGTGCAATTTGGGGGTAGATGTTACTCTTGGCGGTTTTTATCAGCATCTAGATGTTACCCCATCATGTGAGCCCTGAGCGATGCAGATGGTCAGTGTAGTGTGGGTGTGAAATCTCTCGACTGCCCGTGAAAGTGCTCGAGTAACGAGCCACTACAGAAATTTTCCTGGGTAGCCAGAAGCCAGAGGTGTGAAATTAGATTGACCAATGCCTGCCGCCCTGATCGTACGGCCAGCCGAGAAAAGAGTTCCTCGAAACGTGGTTACAATGATGGCAGTGAGGGGTGACATTAGTGGGTGGGGCTAAGGGTGGAAGCAAAGGAGATGTTCAAAGGTTTCTGTTTTTAATAGGTCAAACAGTGGTCCTATGAAAGGCAAGCACTGGTGGTAATTGGATAAGTAAGACTGACACATGATGTCATTATCAGACAGGATAGCAATTGAGAGGTGTGAAATTTTTACCACTGCTTGCCGATCGGACAAGAAGCGATCCTTGATCCCACCGGCTGGGCCTTTGAACCCCCACCTCCCTCTAAATTCCCCTGTCTAAGACGGAATTTTTTTCTGGCTCCCTTGCGATTCCGTCTTACACAGGTTCGACTGTACTTGTTTGGTTGATTTATTTATTTTTTAAAAATTTTTTTCTCGTTTGTTTTTTTTACTGTTCTCTGTTATGTTAATAAACTCAGGAATTGCTTCAGCCTTGGATGGCAATAATGGCATTGAAGCCTTATCCGGGCCTAGACCTGCCTACCCCTTATCGAGGAAGTGGACTCAACCAATCAGCTAAAGGCCAGCAAATCCTAGCAAGTAATAGGGGTGTTACTGCCTACCCCTTATCTAGGAAATGGACTCAACCAATCCGCCTAGGATGAGCAAGTCCTAGCAAGTAGTAGGGGTGGTAGATTTGAATTAAAACAACCTACTGAAAACACTAAATTTATTAGAAACATACCAGTTTTGAGCATAATTTCTTTAGACATTGGTTCACTGAGTCTTGATCTAGATCTAGATCTATACTCAAAGTTTGTACTCTGCGTGTAAATAATTTTGTGTTTTGATTTAGGGATATTTTACTGGGTTAAGACTTGAACTTGCTCAAATCTAAGTACTTGGTCTCAAACACTTCTAGGTGGGCACGAGAATTTCAAGTCCCAAGTCCAAGTCCAAGTCCTGCCCAGGCCTACTCTGTGAATGGCCCAAATATTGATGACGTATTTCAGCCATCTATTTTTACCGTCTTGCGGGGCTTCCCTCGCCAGTTGACGAGATCTCACGCGTCGGTCCCGCTTTGCCGCTTCATGCACTCTAGATCTAGGCTAGGTCCTTGGTCCTAGGCTTCATCGCCGACTGTTTGCGCTGTGTGTGCGCGTGTACGCTTGTGTGTGTGTGTGCGTACGCTTGTGTGTGTGTGTGTGCGTACGCTTGTGTGTGTGTGTGCACGCACTTGTGTGTGTGTGTACAACTTTGAGGAGAAGGTAAATTTATGGAACGAGAATGGCTAATGTTGTTTATAAAAGGTAACATAAATTAATATTTAAAAAACACCCAACAAACACGGCGAGATCTAGAACCTACTCAACAGTAAAAGTTACTGGCAAGGGAAACCCAAGAGTCTTGGGGGAAACCCCGGAAGACGACAAAAATAGATGGCGGAAATATGTCATCTATATTTGGGCCAATCACAGAGATGTGCTAGGTGCTCGCAGCAGCTTGTGTTTCATTTGTATGGCATCACGATTCACAAAATTTTTTTTTTAATAAGTAGATCTAGATCTAGGTTAATCGCTACCCAAAAAGCTTAATTGATCTAAATCTAGATCTAGTCTCATCATTTCAGGATCGAAGGCAGGATTAAAATTGAGGTGTAAGGAGTTTTCCAAATTAAAGCTCCTCTTGGCACTCCTGTACAATTGCGGTCCCGTTTGGGGATACTCGTTTTGCCCCTCCAACGATTACTTCTTGTTCTAAACGATTACTTTTTTTGTGTGTTCCGATAGGCCTATGGAGAGATAGCCTATCAAACCTAATTGCAAAACATCAAATTATGGTCAAATTCAAGGGAGCATGCCCCCCTGAAACATCCCCCCCCCCATGTTTTTGTCAGGTGGTCAGGGGTTGCCCCCCTGAAACTCCCCTTGCCTTGTTAAATACTAGTGAAATTTTACTTCTCATTTTGTAGGCTAGATCTACTGATAAAACATCAATACTGACAATACCGAATATTTAAATCGGCATCGATATCCAGTAGTCTTTGCTTGTGTGATTAAGTGCTAGATCTAAGGACCGCTATTGTACAGGAGTGCCCTCCTCTCAGCCTCAGCAAGGAAGACGTTAGCCTTATTTAAGGACGTTTAGGCCTAGATCTACACTGCTAGATCTAGGCTAGCCGTACTTAAATGATGGCTAGACTGTCAAACAGCAAAAAATAGGCTACAATAAATGTTTGTTTTCCAATAGGGCCTACCTAAAATATTTGAAGACTACAGGGGAAAAACAATGGTAGTCAGAAACTGAAAATCGTGAGGGTACCAATTTTGAACGCTTGTTGACTCATAACTGTAATTTCTGTTCAACTTACTTTTGTACTTTTTCCTTCCTCTGGTATCCTTACGATGTCGAAGGGTCTGTTCTTAAACTGTTGGTTGATTATTGTTGTTAGATTTCCCATTGAACAACACTTACAGTTAAACAAAATGAAGTTATGAGTCCACAAAAGCTTATAAAATTGGCACTCTCACAATTTCCAGTTTGTGACTTCGGTCGTTTTTCCCCTGTGCTCTTCATTTGTATTTGAGACGAAACCAAATGGTGCCTTACTGACAGTGCATGTATTTGGAACCTGAATAATTACTAATGAGACCTGTGTACTCAACAGTTTTCACTCAATAGGGCATAACCTAAGTACGTAATAATGATTTCTGAATTGTAAATAAAATATTAGTTTGAAATACCTAAAGCATTTTAGTATTTCAGATGAAACTGAAAGGTGCCTTACTGACATGCATGTACTTTAAACCTGAATAATTACTAGATCTAATGAGACCTGTGTACTCAAAAGGTTTTGGTCAATAGGGCCTAACCTAAGTACAGCTAGATTGACAAAGTAGGCCCTATGGCTAGCCAGTTTGTTTCAGCAACATAATTACGATAAGAAGGCGGATGACATATCATATTGGCATATATGAACATGGAGATGACAGACTTCAGATGGCAAGGAACATGGAGAAAAGACTTCTCAGACTTTGTTATGGTGTGACCAAAATGAAGCAGTTATCGATCCTTCAAAAGCACAGGTACTTTGATGTTCAGTCAACAATAGGATTAGGATTGTTCAAGAATACACTCTACTGGCAATCACTTGCAACTCTGAGGTTATCGACAGACAGTCAGAGCTGAAGTATCTGGGAATCGTCTTCGATAGGTCGTTGTCCTTCAAAAGCGTGTGGATCATGTTGTTACAAAGACCAAATGGGTATGGATGCAATCAAGACCATGGCACCTGCTCAGATTCCACAAAAAGTGCTCTTCCTGATGTTGCAGCTGGTCGTTTTGTCTGTCATTGATTACGGATTGGGCTATCTCTCGCTGTCCGACACACAGATCACAAAGCTGGATCGAGTGCAGAATGAGGCAATAAGGGCAGCGCCGGGCTGCACCAAGGACACTCCAATATTGTACATGCGCTACTTGCAAGGTTTAAGTGGCATTAGAGTACGCCATAGGATAGCTCAAGCAAAGTATCTAATTGTAATGGAGTTGTGGAAACTCTTTTTTGTGGTGATTTTGAGGATTTTTTTATCTTGGAGTGGTTGGCAGCTCTGAATCTTTGATAAAGGAATGTATGATAAGTTCAGATCATGTCAGGAAATGGCTCTGGCAGGTGCTCACTGTCTATAATAATAATATATTACAGTAGAACATGGCTGTAGCGGGACTTTTTGTTCCAGAAGAAAAATCCCGCTGTAAGCAAGTTCCCGCTATAGGAATGCAAAGGGGAAATTAGCGAAAATTTTCTTAAAATCCTCACGAATACCTCCCTTCCATATCAATAAAATTTGTGCTTTTGATTATTTTTCCTTTTCTTGTCAACTTTGTTGATTTTCTCAGCTTTCAATTCGAGTGAGAAGCATTTCCTTTTGTTCTTGTTGGAAGCCATCTTTTCTTCGGTCTCGTTGCTTGTGCTGTCTATCACTATCATACCAGAAGGGCAACTGTAGAACTGGTGAAGTGGATGCGTGCGTATGCCTATGAGCATCAACTATTGCAATTCAGTGAATCAGGAATCACACACTACACGCTCTCCTCTTCTTTTACTTTTTGGCCCATCCTAGGGCTATGGCCTATGCACACTCTTATACTTGTTTACTTGTGTGAAGGACCGACATCACTGCACAAGGGGCATCCCCATAAGCCCTCCGTCCCCTGAAGAAGCACATCTCGAAGTGTGTAGATGCTGACGGTTCCAAGCACACTCTCATACATGTACTGGGCCTTTAAGCTACAGCACGTCACTTTTATAGTGCCTCGCATAACGCATCTCTCTGCACCAGCTCTCTCTGCCACCTGCCCCACCTCACTCATCACTGGACTGGCCATTCACAACACTGCACCGCTGACTGCCTGTTTGAAGCCCGCCTACAGCCCCCCAACCCCCTTCCCCCCAGCTGGAGCTCGCTCGATCTCTCCTGCTGTATCCGAGATCGGGCCTTTCCTTGCTCCGCTAAACCCGAGCACAGGTAATTGAGTTTACAAAGACAAAAAAAGGGGGATTCCGGTAAGGTCCCGCTTTAGGGATGGTCCCACTGTAGCGGGTGTCGCTGTAGTCGTGTTCTATTGTATTATCAAAGAGTCGAAAAAGACCTCTCAACTTTGCCACATAAAATTTGATTATAAAAATATGTTAGCTTTCACACCCAAATAAAGGCCTAACCCCAAAATGCCATGTATGAAGTAGCTTTTTCATTGCTTGTTTGTCATGATTTTCATCAAATGCACCTGATCGTGACTGTCAAAATGGAACTAGTTTGATTTTGAAGGTTCGCATGGAATTGTGCTAAAATGTTTGATTTTTTCACAGAAAGAGACTCCGGTCACCTGCTATTAGATTAAGCCCTGTGAAATGAGGATTTGATGAAAAAAATTCAACAGTGAGCACTGGATAGCACTGGATATATGACTAATTCCTGTTCACAACTGTACTCCTCCTTTGCTTTACGTATCAGTCAACCACCAACCAGATTGCCATGCTGAGGAAAGTAGTGGAACAGTCCCTAGAGTGGAACTCACAGTTGATTGTCTACTTTCTTGACTATGAGAAAGCCTTTACTTTTGACTCATAGATTTGGTCAAGCATACTGTTGAAGATACTGGGACATCATAGAATCCCGCAGAAATTGGGGAACCTCACCCAGAGCACATAAATGAAGGGAAAAGTTGGAGGGTTGTACATGATGGCCAACTCACTGATAGCTTTGACATCAGACCTGGTGTGAGACAGGGGGATTTGTTATCACCTTTCCTCTTTATTTGGGCAATTGTTTGGCTGGTGAAGGAAACCACCAGAGGACACTAATAAACAGCATGTAGTTGGACTCAGTTGGATGATCTGGACTTTGCGGATGACATTGCGCATCTATTGGACACCCAGGAATAGATGCAAGCAAAGTTTCAGTTTTAAACAGCCTGTTGGATTGAGGGTCCACCTGGGAGAGTCAAAGGTCCTAAAGATAGAGATTCACCACAAAAAGAGCAAGTCACAATGAACGGAAATTCACTAGGAGTTGAATCCTTCTGCTATTTTGGGAATATAATAATGAGAGAGGGGGAAGAATAGGAGCTGAAATTAAGTCTGGCATCGGAATGTCGCGACTACTTTCTTTGAATATATTTGAATACGATTTGGAAGACTGGAGATGTCTTGCTCAGAACAAAACTGAGGATTTTCAACTCAAATTTGAAAGCAGTCTTATTGTATAGATGTGAGACATGGACCTGCATAAGAGGTTCCAGGTTTTCTTCAGCAAGGGTCTGAGAAAGTTTCACAAGATCAGATGAACAGACAGGGTCATCAACATGGAAGTGTTAAGGAGAACAAGACAGCCCAGTGGAGTTGAAGTGGGAAGAAGGCGACACGGTGACAATGGATCGGACATACATGGTACCTGGAGAAGAGTTCCAGAGAATGATACAAAATAAAGTGGAAAGACATGGAATAATGTCAAGTTAAGCTATCCCCAAATGGGGAAAAATCGGAAGGTGTTTGTGGTTTTTACCCTGATCCAGGATGACAACGGCAATGATGAGTTGCTTTATGTGTGCCTAATGTTTTTACTATCCGCTTTTTGTTCTTTTTTTTTACTCCTCAGTGATATGGCAAACTTTGCCTTTGTTGTATTCCGCTACCCTGAAGATGCAGAAGAAGCTGTGAGAGACAGAAACGGAAGGTAAACTACTTATTGCACTGAAGATTTTGAATAGTTTGTAATGCTTATTTCTCTCTTTATGTGATGAATAAAAATGTTAGACTTTAGTTTGAAAGTTAACCAAACAGTGCTGTCATTGTAGTGCTCTCTTAAAAGTACCATTTTCAGATTTTTTAAAGTACCTCTATGATAGTGCATTTTGCATTTTGATTTGAAAGATGTGTGAATTCTTATCTGTGTAAGTCTAGCTTGGGGGGGGGGAGGAGGAGGAGGAGGTTTGCATCCATAACTTTAAACGTTAGGCCTACTGCACAGCACTGGATTTCATGTATGGATTCTGTTGTCAATAGAGCAAAGAAACGTGAACTTGTGTTGTTGTAGACTATTGTGCGATAAAAACTTTGTGGTGCAACTTATCCTCAAATATCTCTTTTGCCTACAAATATGGCCTATGTTTCAACTTACCAGTAATCTAGGCGGCTCCGATTTTGGCATTTAAAAAATAACAAAAGCAAAAAAAAACCCAAAGAATACACCACCGGGGAATAAAAGATTTTTTGTAAAACGAGGAATAAAAATTGAAGAAAAAAAACGAAACTGAACCTCTTTACCTTTAAAAAGAAAGTTTATTTTCTCTTCGGCTTCTCTTCGGCTTCTCTTCGTCTATTTCTCACTTGTTGATTTGTTATTTTCATGTGAAGAATACATTACATTCTATTTATAAATAGCTGTTTCTCTGTTATTTTTTTCCTCTTTGTAATTGTTGTGTCTTAATTTGTTGATGAGTTAATTTTTTTTCTTGTTTTTGTTTTGATGTTTTGTTTTTCTACTTTTTGTGTTTACATAGGCGTAATGTCATTTAATTTGATATTGTTCCTTCCTTTTTTAAGATGTAGTTTGATAATTATGTTAAAGTATGTCTCCACCAAAATGGAATACTGACACTGCATGCAGACCCCTTGTGTGTAATTCCAATTTACATGTAATATCCTGTACTTTTTCTTGAATTACACCCGTTTAGGGTTAAAACGGCCAGTCTTCGGATAGGTGGACACACACCCTTATTTGTTAATTTTGTGGTTGTTTATGTGCTGTTCTAATTTTGATTTCATTCTGTTGTGAAACCTTTATTTTTCACGATTTTACACTCTGTGTGGCTACAAATGATATAGATACTTAATACAGAGCACAAGAAATTCTGGTGCTTAAAATTTTAAAGTTACCTCTATCAACATATTGCTCTATACGTCGTCACAGAAAGTTGAAAGCTTGAAAATTAATGGCAACTTGTATGGCAACCTGTGTAATTATTTTGCAGCAACTTTTGATAAATTTTGGATCCAAAAAATGGCTACAAACGCAGATGCTAGAATAATACTTTTTAGTGACAAATCTTGTTACAAGAAATGAATTTTATAGTGAAAGTTCTCAAAACATGCATTCAATAAGTATTATGTCGCATTTAGAATAAAATGACGGACTTGCTTTTAAAAGCGATATTGCCCCAGCTGTAAACCTTTTAATATCTGTAGAAACCACCCGCTTGGATTTTTATCTAGTATTTATTTTTAAAATTTCTAGAATACAGCTAGTGGGTGGTTGGAGGCTTGGGAGGGTGCTGTTGTGTGATTTGCTCCTTTTTTCCTATCAAACATCTATCCTCTTTATCTCCCCTCCTTCTATTTTGTGTTATCACTCTCTTGTAACAGCTATAATCTTCGGCACTTATATGACCTTATTGTGTTGCAAGTGCCATAAAACTCTCATGGGAAAAAAAAAATACAGCTAAATGGTGTTCACAAAAATGTTGATCTGCTAAGCCAAATTGATACAAGTCATTGTGCAAAAGCTGGAGAGTCTGTGTTTGATAGTTGAGGAAATATTTGGTAGCTTTTCAGGACAAGTGGGCTAACCCCGATTTCGGGGGTTTCCAGAAATCTTGACATACACCAAAGTGAGCATTGCCCTACCTATAGGAGAAGTTCGCTTTCATTGGTGTGTATATTTGTTTGGTTATAGAGAAAACTCTCCTTGTCTTTTAAAGAAACTGAGCAAGGGTCCAATAACTTTACCTACGATTTTCTCAAAACAGCATTTTTGGGGATAGCCCCCTTGTGCTTAAAAGTGACCATTTGATATTTGACAATAAGTTGCACCTTGAATTTTTTACCGCACTAAAAGTCGGAATAAAGCATATTGCATGGGACCCCCACCCACCCTTGCTATCATTTTCAGAAAAGTGTGTGGTCGACAAGTGAGAGTAGAGCATGCCAAGCCTATTGGAGGTGGTCGCCAAGGTGGTGGTGGTGGAGGCGGAGGCGGAGGAGGAGGAGGAGGAGGAGGGCGAGGTGGAGGCTTTGGTGGGCGTGGCTTTTATGGTGGAGGAGGGGCTGGTGGTGGCGGCGGCGGTGGTCGAGGTGATTATAACGATGGATGGTACGGCCCTCCGAGAGATATGCCACCACGTGGGAGGTCAAGATCTAGGTCCAGGGAGAGATATAGAAGGTGAGTTGGATATTCCTCCTTTCTGTATTGGGTATAATCAGTGTCGCTTTGTGCGTTTTTGTTTTCAAAAATTCTATTTTAGTATTGTATTGTGTGTTTGTGTGTGCTCTTCACACTTTCCTCATGTGTTTTCCTTTTTAATAAACAGCTGAGCTCGGATAACTCAAACAGTGGGGATTGACAAATGTGTTTTTGACATCCATATTGTGGGTTAACTGATAATGAAAGAATAAAGAAATATCGGTTGGGAATGGCAAATGGTATGAGCTATCATTGATTTTGAGTTTGAGTTTTCCATGTTCATGTTATCTGTGCCTGACTGAATGTGGAAATGAGAGCAACATTCAAGAAACTATGTGTTGAAGTTTTTATGACCAACCTGCTTTATACATATAGTAGGCGGGAGTGACAGGTTCTTTTTTTACTTCTCTCCTTTTATTATGTCTATTATTTTGCGTTTTACATTGTTGAACAGTAAATGAGCATTACAGTGTTAATGTGCTTCTGTCTGCTTTCAGTTTCAAGGCTTATTAAGTCAATATTATACCCATTTTCTTTCTTTACATCTTTGAGAAAGACAGGAGTAGATTTCTTTCCCCTTCCCTCCTCCCTAGATATTTTTTTTATATTGGTACAATTACATGTCCATGCCCTGCACTCTTCTTATTTTTTTCCTCTTTATTGCAGGTATGATTGCATTTTCAATTTGAAAACGGTTATCAGTGGCCTTATGGAAATGTCTTTATGAAGGAATTAATAACACAGGAAAATAACACAATTATAAAGATCTACAGTTATCACTTTTTAAAAAAAATTGGTATTACATATTGGAATCTAATGTATGAGAATTTAATTCGCAGGTGGTTGGCAGTAGCTCTGATTCTGATGTGGTTTGTTCCTTCTTTCCCTTCAAACATCTATCGTCCTGATCTCTTTGCCTTCTTTTTTGTGTTTGTTACTCTCTTTGTAACACCTCTAATCTTCGGCACTTGTGTGACCTTATTGTGTTGCAAGTGCCGTAAAATTCTTACTAAAACTACAAAAGAAAAAAAAACGTAGTTCTTAGGCTGAGATTCATAAATGTCTGAATGTTTGTATTTATGCTTAAACACAAGACCAGATCCTTTCACAGTATTATGCAGTAAGAAGAGTCTCAGAGACATGTTATTGTTTTCCGTCCTTGCTCTTGGTTTCCTGGCTTTGCTGAGGAATTTTATATAGGCCTACATTCAAGATGGTTTTATTGATCATGATTTTATATATATGTAATTTATCTTGTTGTACTGACACATTTTTCAAGGCGCCTTCGAATGTGGGTCAATCTAGCGGTGGACGAGCGTCCCTCACTGATGTCCTGAGAAAGAAAGAGTGAAACGATAGCTACAGCAAGCTCGTGTGCCCCACCCCTTTCAGTTACCAGAAAGTGGATCAGTATTGCCCGAGGTTCCTTCCCTCCCTCGCGTGTGTCCTGCTCAGTGGTCGATAAGTCGCATGCCCCGGAGTCTGTCGTTCCATTCGTTCATGCCAAGGAGAAGTCCGCCCCTTCTATCTCCCTCTCTCGCACAACAAGAGCCAGATCTCGCTAGGAGAACGTGCAGCATCATGACCAGTCCAGATGTCGTTGTCGTCAGCTCGTTTCTCAGCTTGTGGGTCGAAGGGTGAGAGAGCCCGCAAGCTACTGGATGGATCACAACTACAGCGTTGACTCAACTCAACTTCTTGCGGTAGCCGTCACTTCGTCCCTCGACTTGATGTGTCCACCAACCATCTCTCAGCTGGTTGTCCTTGAGCGTTAACACCATCCTTTGCCAGCAAGTCGTGTTCACGTGCCTTCATGTGTGTCGTTATACGAGGAGCCGAGCAAATCGTGTGCAAAGTGACGTTTACGATCCTTCCTTCATTCCTTGCCCACCTACCTGGATGATGTGAGGAGTGTTGTAACGTATCAGGCGGTAGTAGGTATTGCATTACTGGGCATTTGATCCAAGTCCCCCTTTCAGGTTTGCCACCTCCACTTGTGCTGTTCTTTGACATTTTATAAATCTACTGGTTTCTGCCTGCATCTCCTCATGAAATTCTTTGATGACTTGAAATTGAAAGATGCTGTCTCTGATTTTATGGGTTCTGTGATATGAGTTTTGCTCATGGCTAAGTCTGGTAATGTTTATGTCTTTTATTTCAAGTGAATAAATCTAGAATGAACACCTCAAAACAAAAACAAATGGATAAGGTGAAGCTCTAAGTCTAGCTCTTAAGAATCTTTTCAGTCAATGGTATGAAGAAAGAAAGATTCACAGCTTTTGTTTTGTTTTGTTTGTTTTTTCTAAAAATCTTTAGCATGGACAATTATTTGTACAATTTAAAGTTTACTCAGAAAAATTTAAGTTTCCAAGGAGTTTACTTGTTATGGGAATAGGGTGCTTTTCAGGGAGGATCGGCTTGATATTTAGAAATCGAAATCATTCAAAAGTAAAAAGACTTGTAACTTTGTGTAGAAACATTGAAAGAGGTTGGTAACACCGGTAAATGTATTAATCAGGACGGTGAAAGCTCGAGAGAGAAAGGTACAATGAAAGAAAGTTAGCAAAGCAAAAGTAGGTAAACAGGTGAAATTGTTGCCAGAAATAGGGTAGTGTTTAGTGCTAAATAATATTGCAACTTTGTAGTATGGAAATCAGCCCTAACTTGATTGAGATCAATGAATTGCTCTTCTTTCACCTTGTAACTGGTATGTTTTTATGTGTTTCAGGAGTCCGTCTCCAAGGAACTATCCGAACAATGGTGGTAGGTGGCAGCAGCAGTCGCCTCCCATGGAAAGGAGAAGGTCAGAGTTTTCAAAAATCCATACTTTACAAAGTTCGTCCAGTGATAAGCTCCTTCACTCGATCCATGCTGTGATTTTTTTGCAGTATTTTATGTCAAAGTGATAAAATGGGTAATTCAAAGATGCATTTATCTTGGAGAAAATCTAACAACTACGTTTTTGGTCAGTTCAGCTTTTAGGACAATGTCATGTTAACACATTACACCCCAACTCGCGCGGACTCGCCCATATATGTCTCTATACGCATCGCCCTAACGATCGTGGGATCGCCCGGTCAGACCAGGTGTCTTTAGACAAGGGTGTCCCGCCTTAACAAGACTCTGTGAGGCGGAGATTTTGTTTGGGCCAGTAGTTTTAATTGCTTTTCTGTCACTCCAAAGGAGGTTCGACAAGTTGAAAATCTTAACAATTGAGCCGGGACAAGTAAATAGCAATGGATGTGAGCCAAGAAAAACGAACGATGAATGGGATATTGATGAAGATGTTGCAGCAGGAGTTCAGGGTGGTTCAGATAAATCAGATGTTGAATCTAGACCTAAAGCTTGATCAAGAGGCTGAAAGTGAGAGTGAGTGGTTAGACACCGCTGAAAGTGAGAGTGAGTGGTTAGACTCCGCTGAAAGTGAGAGTGAGTGGTTAGACTCCGCTGAAAGTGAGAGTGAGTGGTTAGACACCGCTGAAAGTGAGAGTGAGTGGTTAGACTCCGCTGAAAGTGAGAGTGAGTGGTTAGACACCGTGAGTGAAGGAAAGTCAGAACATTTCCGTTACATGTGGGGATAGAGTTGTTTTTTTCTGAAAATACATTCAACTCTCTTTCTAATTTGCTTTTTTTTTCTTCAGAATTTGTTTAGTTTTCTAAAAATGGTTTTAAAAAGTACATGTCCTTACGTTAATGTAACTTACCTCCCTTTTCTTAGGATTTGGGAGTAAAGTTCTTGTCCAGATCTAAAGGGTGTAATGTATTTAAGTCAAGAATGACTTTTTCTTGCCTATGTGGAAGCTCCTACCCAACTTTAGGAATGAAAATGTTATCTCTGAAGCTTCTAATTGAAGGTGGCCACATCTCTTATCAGGATTTATGATATATATGTAATATTTATGTAAGCATTCCATATTAACTGTTGAATGGGTCTTTGGCGGGTTTTTTTAAAAATCTACTATGAAATGATTGGGATGATCTTGGAAAGAGTTGAAGCCTTTTTGTTTTTATACTTATAGGTGTTACTCTTGATAAATAACTTTTAAAATTTGTGTTAATATGGCATCTCGTATCCACCTGAAGTAATCAAGATGTTATCTATGAAGCCTATAAATGATGGTTGCCAACGTTTTAATTGGGAGAGGGCCACAAATCTGGTACATCCGCCTGTCTCAGTCATAGATTGGAGAAGATCAGAAGGAGAATAAAATATAGTAGTCTCCACCTAAGATCCCACCGCTTACGATCCCAGTTCGCTTAAGATTCCACTGTTTTAAGAAAACAGAATTTTTCCTATACAAAAGTCACCCCTAAGATCCTGCTCTGATTCACTCTGAAGGTGTACATTCTGCAAAGATCCCACATTTCTGATCATAATTTACGGAATAAAACCGCGGGCAGGCACAGCCGATCAACAGAGAGGGAAAAGTTGAGATCAATGAACTGCCCGTTGCATCAAAGATCAGCCACTCTCGTGAATGTGATCACATAAGCATTGTAAAACTCGATGAAACGGTCAAATGTTTGTCCCGATGGGATCACACCGCTGTGTGGACTGACCGAGGTGTTTGTTTTCCGCAAACATCGCACTCGCATCTAAGCTCTCCACCTAAACATACATTGCCTCGCTCTAGGAGGGATCACATCGAACTGTGAACTCTTACGTGACTTTTTCAGCAGTTTTCTCTATTCGTGAATTTGCGAGACAGACTGAATTTTAATTGGTGTGGTCACAACGTAATGGTGCGTAATGGCAAAGGCGGGGGAACTCGGTCAAAGATGGAAAGCTATAAATTTTCAACTGGTAAAGGGGAGGGGCAACTGGATAAGCATAGATATTGAGACTTTCGATTGGATAATAAGTGAAAATGGCACGCCTCATGCCGCTATGCACTGTGATTGGTCATCAAGGTTAACCAGTCTTTGCTCGCCATATATCATAAATCCACCCAAGGGTCACGTCAGTTCATTTTAGAGTGGAGGGAGACCATTTTACAGATTGTGAGCCTTAACATGGGTCACCATAGATTTTTCCCTGGGTTCGTCGGCAAAGATCCTGGTTCACCTAAGATCCTGCATTTTCCTTGCTCCCGAGCACTGGGATCTTAGGTGGAGATTACTGTACTGGAAAATAAGAAAGGAGAATAGAAGAAAGTATCCACTGACATATAAGATGTTTCAGAGGTCTGTGTTTGCTCATCACTCTGGGCGGAGGGAACTATAATGATTAGCGAGGATTTATTTTCATATTCTCTTACAAAGATTGGTAATTATATGTGACGACACACCTCCTTAGGAGCCACAAGTTACAAATTTTCTGTTTCGAGTTACCGTATGTTCATTTTCTTCATCTACATAGTTTGAAGAACACTTAGTGCTAAGATTAAGCCAAAGGGAAGGAAAGTAAAGAAACTACAGATTCATAAAGTAACGATTTTGTAAGACTCTTATTTTGAGAAAACGGACGTCTAAGTTTATGTAACATTTTCCATAGCATACAGATGCTGTTTGAAATCATTTGAAAAAAAATATGAATAGAAAGACGGTGAACTAAGTCAGGAATTTTTATCTTCTAAACAGAAAAATGGCGAAAGAAGTCAGTTTTATTTTAAAAAACGCGATTTTGATCTTAACCCCGTCGTTGCCTTATGACGTACCTGGTACATCATGAAAGTGCGTCATTTTTAGCGCTGTGCCGTACCATGTACGTCTCGGAAGTTGGCAAAATTTTCTGCTCCTGGTTGCCTATATGATGTTACATGTACATCACACTAATAACCTGGCTCCAATTCTTCTGTACAGAATTTTAGCCACAAGCAAAGATTCATATTCTGCAACACAAAACGCGCATGTCAGTACCAAATTCGCTTGTATTTCTTTACTGCTTGGCTTGCAAGCAATTGATAAACACAGATCTAGGCTTGCGGGCGGCCGCGTGCTCTTGTAAAACTAAACATCGAAATGACGAAAAGGCAAATTAATTCACTTTTTGACTTAGATTTGCTGGCTATTTGAAATCATGAGTAAGATGGGAGGAAATGGGGTTTAAGAAAAGTGAGAAAAGTGACACAATCAAAGAACTGATGTCTGAATTATGTCACGAGTACGCCACATCTAGACCGGACATCCTTTAACACTGAGACATTAGGCTGCTGTCATGGGTAACGAGCTCAGCTGAAAATCCATGCCGACAGTTGGAACGTATACTCCCTGGCAACGACAGTGTTAATCACCCTTAGCACTTACTTTGGCCGCTAGTGCAAAACGGCAATTCCCATCTTGTGGCGACATAAATTGTTAGGTACTGGTTTCTACATTGATGGGCACAGTAGAACAACAGCACCAACAACAAGAGCCCCAATAGTTAACATTTTAAAAAAAAGAGAATTTCCTCTCTTCTGTCTCACCAGAAATGACAGTTACAACGAGCCACCACCCCCCAAAATGGCACAGCACAGTCCTCCTGAATCTCCTGAACCCCCGCGAAGGTAAGCCTCACTGTTTTCCTACAGGCTCCACAGGCTTTAGTTGGTACTTTTGATCGTTCATGTTATTCATATTTGATTCAGTGAGCTTCTCTGTGTTATCTGAATTTGGAAATGTGGGCATTAAGGAGCTGTCTGGCAAATAACGTTTATTTGAAAGAAAAAAACCTTTTCAAAGAGAACTTATGTTTGTTTGGTTTGGTAAGTGTGTTGCAGTGCTGGCAACTGCAGAGGGTCATATGAGCGGGCGGGACATTAAACATTTTCAGTTTGGTAAGAATTTTTTATTTTGCCCGCATGGCGGCTGAAGCCTACTCTTATCAATTTTTGGACCACCAAGGGATCTTTAACTGCGCAACTTGCACAGGGCACCTCCCAAGATTTTTTGCCCTTATCCGAGAAGGCTAGGCGGTGAAAGGAGGACATTTTAGAGAAGAAAATTTTCCATAATTTTCAGGTTTCGAAAACAGGGCCTATTGAATGAGAGGCAAATACCATGAAAGACCATGAAGAAGAGAACTTCGAATGTCAAATTTCTGAGGTTGGTTAAGCCATCATTCCACTTTGTGGTGAGCGTAGCGAAAGTGCATGGAGCCCTCTTGCAATAATTTCAGATGAAAGTTATTCTCCCTTTGTTGTACTTGTGTTTTTGTCTCCATTTTTGCTCTGTTTAAGTTTGTGCTTAGTAATTGAAGTCAGGAAGATAGAAAAGCTTTTCTTATGGATTGAGATTATGCTTACAGTGAAGCAGAACTACGAAGTACAGCACAATTGAAAAATAATGTGAACCAGTTATGGGCTCTCCTCCCCCCCCCCCCCCCCCCCCCCCCAAATGGCAATTTTAAATTTACAGGGTCCCCACCAGATCGGGAGATGGGGAAAAAGTCGGGAATTTTTAGATGGGTCAGGAGGTCGGGAAAAAGTCGAGAATTTTGTGATGGGTAAGTCGGGAAAGGATAGGGCCTGTGCAATATTAGTAGTGTAGCTATCTAGACAGTATGGTTGATGAATCATGAAGAGGAAACGTAGTTGAACCACTATGGCGGCAGGCGGAATTGTATGTGTGATACCGAGGCTCCATCGGGAAGAATCAAGATCTACTTTCGCTTTTGTTACCACCCAGAAATTTTCCGGTAATAGCCTGAAAGATAACGCAACACTTGTAACATGCAAAGTGTGCGTTACGAACACTGTGTCGCCTTGAAAATAAATCAATATTTAAAACTTGTCCTCTGCTGTCACTTGTGAGAAAAGAAAAGAAAGTTATACAGGCGTCTTGTCACATTCGCCATCGTGACCGGTCAATGAACCTCTGAGTGTGTGTACCGCTGTGAAGTATAGGACTCCGGAAGGGGGGGAGGAGAGTTGAAGGCACCGCTAGAGGTCAAAACTTGGAAGCAAATTTTTAGAATTTAGAATTTTGAGAACAAGCTTACTATAAGAGCTCTCTGCAAGGCGTGCTCTGGTGCAGACATTGTGTGGAATCGGGACCCGTCATGCCTTGTTATTGAGCTAAAGTGTTTGCGTTTCATTGGATGGGGAGATTGTAATTTATATATCTATATTTTAGCTTTCTGTTCAAGATTGGCAGATTTTCAGTGTCACTGCATCTTGCCCTCCCTCAGTTCTTGCACCTCTCACACTGAATAGGTCTACTTGAGCCATTCAAGTTATTACACTAATACTAATAATATTACACTTTGAGTTTGAGCAATAGTTTTCGTCTTCATGTTTATTATATGAATCACGACACCCTGACTGGTGATTGACAGTCGATATTCTAGTTCTAGGTCTTTTCTCAGGCTCACAACAGGATTCATTTTTTAATAGGGCCTATAGTTTATGTAGGCTAATATGTTGAGGGGAAAATATAAATAAGTAAGAACAGACTGAAATACCAAAGTCACACAAGATCCCAGTGCCACACTGACATGTTGTTGACTGGATATATTGTACCTACATGTGTGTGTGTGTGTATTCACAAACATATACATATGTTATACATGTATTAGATATAAATGGAGTATGTGCTGTCATTGTTATGTAACATGCCCCTGGAAAATGGATGAGGCCCCTCCCTTGGTAAAATGAGAAGCTGGGTTGGCAGTCACCCAGCATTATAATCATCTATTGTTTGGAGACTATACTACAAAATGTACATTTGCATTCATTTAAAGAGATTTTGACTTTTTATCATTGATAGATGGGCTTTTTGGGGGATCATTCTTGACGCGCAGCGGCCTGATTTTTCCCTTGAATTGGGGTCTTGAAAAAAAATTCCAGGATTTGGTGGGGACCCTGAATTTAAATTTATGTCTGTATATCTATGTGAAAAGCTTATATGGTTGTGGACAGAGTATTTTTGCTCCCACCATGTTCACATTCGGTGACTCCTCTGTTTAACCATGTTCCTCTTTGTGAGCAAGTGATTTTTAGCCGTTTGTCTTTTCTGGCTGTCATCAAAAAAAAGAAAAATTGTATTTTTTTAAAGAGAAATTCAAATGAGTCATTCATGATGAAAATGCAGGCCAATGAATTTCCTATCATACAGGACAAAGAATAAAAGTAATCTGAGCATAAAATTGTGGTTTGTGTGAGTCTGAAGAATTTAAAGTGGAAGAGATTAATCATAACTGGATGACTTTATTTTGGCTACACGAGGTGTAAATAAGACTGGTGGGGATATATGGTTATATTGGCTACGTTGACCCCAATAGGCACTTTCATAATAATTTGTCAAGCATTGGAATGCAGGGCTGCCCATCATTATGAATTTGGCAGAATCGTCATGATTTTTGTTCAGTTTTATGAAAATATGATCAAAGTACCCCTGGTTCCGATCTTTAAAAGTTTCGGCTATCCCAACTCACTGCCAACGTTCCCGGTGTATAAAGGTAGAAAAACTACCAGACCTGGACAGTCTACGTCATTAAGTCAGGTGCAGATGTCTAACTTTAGCATCCTCTTTACCTTGAGCCCTTCTAGTCGCTCAGTGCCACTTTACCGATAGAAAAACATTAGACTTTAGAAGTGCTGAATCTAGGAGTAAAGTAAACATTAGGTTGACAAGATGTTAGTAAATTCCTGTCTTTTTGTGCTGTGTATGACAGCCAAGGCCAGTGTGAGGTTGTTTTTTTTAAAGGATCATTGTTTCAAACGTAATACAATAGCACCCTTTTTTTTTCCTTAACTCGACCAGTGACGAGCCCGTCAAGACCGATTTTTTTTTATCATGCCTTTGTTTACGTTACCTTTACACATGATGTGCTTGCTGGACTACTAGCCCTGTCTTTGACACCCAAGGGAAAAAGACGATCCATGGCCATATATTACGAATTTTTAAGTAAGTCCGATTACTAATTTTTTATCTGCTGATTACTAAAACAAATACGTGCTGGTAGGTGGGAAGCCCTGGGAATGTAGTAGTAGTAACGGCCATGGAGCATGGGTCACATGAGCAACGAAATGGGGCATGCTGTAAGGAGTGAGTTAAATCCTTGAAGTGAGGTGGTGGAAGAGTCACTGTTTTACTCGAATTATGTTTTAGAATTCCCGCGAAACCCAAAAGGGTATAAGCGGCGGATAAAAGTAAGATAAAAGTAATGTAGAATTACGACCTTTTTGGAACAGAAACCTCTCACACTCTCAACTCTGGTTTTTGTCGTCATCTCATCAGGCACAAGAAGAAATCGTCCAAGAGGCAAGTCTCAGTTTCACCGTCCCCTCCCCCCAAGAGAAAGTCCAACAAGCAGCCGGGGTCAAGCGAGGACTCGGCATCGTCCAGCTCTGAGTCTCGCAGCCCGACGCCGCCCCCGAAAAAGAAGAAGAAGAAGAGAAAGAAGCAGCGAACTCACTCCTCCTCGGCCAGTCCGCCCCCCGACCCGGGCTACGGCGGTGGCAGAGAAAGCAGAGTGCCGCCCCCGCCCAGCAGCAGCGGAGGTCGTAGCGGCGGCAGTGGTAAGAAGGGGAAGAACAGCAGCAGCAAGGGCAAGCAGAAGTACGAGGAGAGCGACGGCTATTCCAGCAGCAGCAGCGGCTGAACGGGCAACACTCTTGCTGACTTCTTCTTCCATGAATTGTTAGGAATGTTTGGGGGGGGGGGGCTTTTTTTTTTAACTGCCTTGCCTTATCATTCTTTGGGTGTATATTTGATTCTGAGGTATAATGACGTTTGGGAGGTGGTGGATTTCTGATATGTGGAATCTCATCAGTGTTTACAGCTAGGCTTGACTTTTGTGTACAGTCATGTTACAGTTTTTGTTTATATACAGTATAATGAGTTTCATCTATTTCAGATTGTTTCAGTATTTTTTTGTCAAGCGCTTTTAAGAAATTTAAATTTTGTTGTCCTTTTTATTTTGTTGTTGGTTTGATCAAAGAACAAACTATGTTGTATGCTTATGTTTATGTGTTACTGTTGTATCGCTTGTATTTGTGTTGAATACTCTCTACTTAATTCATTTTCAAGTCTGATCTGAATACAGTGAACCTCATGTCCGTAGAACTCTTTGGACCCACGCTTGTTCAGTTCGCTGAATTTTAGGTTGCTGTGAAAAGATCCACCCTCTTTTTCTTCTGAAAGTGCCAGATCTGAAACGGACATAGCCAGTCATGGATGGCCACTCATTTCTCAGTTCAGTTGCCCTCAATTGTCCCGTAATTATCCTTGTGTTCTCCCGTAACCCATCTGTTCCAAGGTCTGTCAGTACACTATTCTTGGTCTACCACTCTTTCTTTTGCCCTCTATTTTCCCAGTGAGACTAAGATGGATAATACTGGAGTATAGTGGCATTCGTCCTAAATGGTGAGGTTGGAGCACCATATTTGAGAAAAACACCCCTTTTATATTTGGGCTCCTTTTGGGGGGTTTTCCTGTTCAGCTGTGGAGTAGATTCGGATGACTGATGTTTTCTTCTCTGAGATTCCCGTCACAAATATAATGTAAAACTAGACTTTCACCCACTCTGAGAATCTTACTGAATGTAAACACAGTACAGCAGTCTCCTCCAAAGAACGTGCTGCGTAAAAACAATATCCACTTTAATGTAGAACGGTCAAAAACACTCACTTTACACTTAAGCTCACTTCATTTCATTCTGCAAAAACCAGCTGAATGAAAAAGGAAGCAACAGTGTAGGTTTATTTGCATAATATTGTACCCCATGGATCAGCCTGGACAGCTAGATATTCTTTGCCATGTATGTATGTACACACATCTCCATTTCTGTCCTATGCAGTTTCTAGCGGCGTAAAACCTTACTAAAACTGAACTAACCATTTCTTCTGTGCCATGGCCAGGAATAGAATTTATGACATTGCTGTTTTCTTTCCTCGGCTGACTGTTTATACATGTCCCTCCCCTGTTTGTTTGAGTAAAGAGAAGCTCTCATTGGCACAATATTAATCATTTAGTGCTGGGAAAAGTAAGACAGACAGGTAGAAACAACAGAGGGAAAGTAAAGAAGTAGGACCTACCAGTGGCGCCCTCCAACGACCGGCCCCCTGGTCTGTCCAGGGAGCAAGGCAAGGCATTATATTTGATCTGAGGATTTTAAGGATTCCTTATGACATAACAAATTCAAAAACAGTTGGAACTCTTTTTCTTTTTGAAAAGGTCTGATATTATGATGACTTGGCATTCGTTTGAGGTTCACTGTATTCCATTGGATTGTTTCATCCAATATTTTGTATTGTGCTTTATTGACCAATGCTTTACAAAGTGAAGTCATTGCATGCTGAATTTTATAAGCTACCTGTTAATGTAATTATTACATTTTTTGACTGTATGTTCAAATTTTGCATGTGTGCAATGGGTTTGTTTTTTTTTGTTTTAATTTTTTTAAATTTGATCTATTTAATTACTCATTATTACTATTCAACATTATTTTCTCCTCGACCATACTGACAATGATGTGAGACTATAGATGGGAACACTGAAGTGTGTTGTTCTGTGAAACATATCTATGTGTTAAATTCAGAAGCGTATACTGATATTAACAATGATGCTATGTGTTCATTCAACTGGTTTTGATGTTATTTGTTTTATCATGGAATAATTTGGGTTTTGGCGACTTTCAACCCCAAAATAAAAAGTGTGACCCTCTGATCATTCTCCAGTTTTTTCTCTAAAAATTAGGGAGTATACTTTTGTTTATGTACTCTTGTTGGTTTGTTTGAGTTAAGAGAAGCACATCAACACAAAAATGGTCTTTTAGTGCTCAGTTTTAGAGAGAATGGGTGCTTGAGTATGGGCTGATACAACTGATCATTTTAAAGATCCCCTCTAGATCTGGCTTGTTGAAGAATATAAGAAATGAAGACTTGGATAAAGTTTCAACGAATTATCAATAGACAACAAATTTATGTTCAACGTTTCGCCTTTCTCCAGGAACCAGATGATACATCTTAACCCTCGTCCTGCGGGAGCCGGGTTTATGTCACCCGATAAGCCTATTTCGGCACCTCGTCTACGTTCTGGTCCCGAATCAGTGTAGCCCCTGGCTCAGCGCACGCGCAGCCTCTTACGTGTCATTCGGGTCCCGAGTCGGATCCCCATTCACGCAGGTCAAGTGTGTGTGCGTCAGTCTGCTTGAGTTTGTGTGCGTTTGTGGCCTTCTTCTAGAACCGCCTGCGTTGGTTCGTAATTGAGGTATACGTCTCATTCAAAACATGCCAAGTTGGTAGCTCTAGATGTTCGTCCAATGAAATTATAGAAGAAATTGACCCACTTAGCCACGAGGAGCTCGAAAGGGTAGTCAGGAAAAAAGACTTCCTTTTTTCTATACAAAATGTTTCAAATGAGCTTGATTTTGTATGAAATGATACTACCTGATAAAAAATAAGCTTGTTTGATAGTTTTGAATACCATTGTGCAGGTACAAAGAACAGTTTGAGTGTAAAACTTTCGGAAATTGACCTATATTATCCCCTTTCGAACCTCAGGTCATTCATAACAACAAGAGCGTCCAGAAAGGTTATTCGAATGGGCATAACTACTCGTAATGTCTTATCAGCTTGTGAGAGGGGGTTATTCATGTGTTTGTAACACTTTATAAATAGAAAGCTATGAAAGATAGAGCGTTATTTTCATCATTGGTTATATGACGTGGGGAACTCTGTGCCACCACTTTCCAAAGAGGAAATTTACTCATTAATCCGATCCGTACGCTTTGCATAGCAGTCTGTCAAAATGATTTTTTGAGAAATACTGAAAGTTTCAAAGAGATCTTTGTACTATAAATATTCTAAAATGTGACGAACACAACCCTGGCGGTACAAAATGACCCAAGGGCGTACGGATAGGGTTAATGATTATAAAGATCACGTTTTGGCCAGGCCCACAAGGTGGATACTTTCAGGCCAAGAACACAGAGCGTGCTTTACATTACAAAGTGCTAGCACGAGTAAGCAAGCTCTGGAATAGCTGGGAACTTTTCTAAACCAAAAATTTGACTCTACCCATGTGTTGGGTCAAGATGGTCGACATTATTATAATAATTGAACTTATAGCCTATATATACGCTTTACAGAACATTCTATGCGTTTTTCTACGATTATTACCCCAGCCAATCCTACAACACTCAGAAACATTCTCGGCTTCCCGGGAAGCATACAGCGCAAACTGCAGATTACACATGCTGAAACTAACATTAACAAACTGACAAGATTTTTCACTGTTTATAACATTTCCACCAGGATAAAGTGAGAAAAATTAGTGTAAAGCACCTTTCCCAAGGACACAACATTAGGCCCCTGACAAGATTCGAACCCAGTGACCGTACCGTTTGCAACTCCGATAGCCTGACCAGAAGGCCACCAACACCACAAGATAAGCTATTCAAAGCAGACGTCAACAATGATGTCAGAAATGATTATGGTACACGACTCCCATTGACTTGTAGTTGTAGGCTTCACTTCATTCTCATTATTATTTGCAAATCCGGATATTTTCTTCAGCATCAGCAAGTCTGTGAGGAGCAAACTTGAAAACGGAGAATACATTTTCCTGACAAAAAAACAAACTTCCATACTCAGACTGTCAAAAACTCATTAAATATGAAGGGTTTTTTTTTAAATCAAACTAGTTGGCAGCTATGCACTACTAATATTCCTCATACTGTCTTGTGTTCTTAATACACGGAGAGGGGGGTTGGTTGTTAAAGTGTAGGTGTATTTTCATGTCCCCATCGACACAATTAAGATCATTTAAGAGGTGGCGGTGGGCTTCCAACCATGCCTTTAAAGACTTACCCAGCTTGATAGGGAAACATCCCAGCAGAAAGACCCAATATTCTTTATAAAAATTTCTTCCCACTCGAGAATCAAATTTGCGTTTCCTGTGTGTGAATGCCAATCACCTAAACCGTTACATCGCAGAGGCTGGTCTAAAAATGTGTCAAGGAACAGGAAGATGAGGAACCCAAAATTAAACTTGCTGAATATGGTGAAGGAGGACCTGGACAATCCGTGTCCTTTTCTGTCTACAACAACACGCTGATGGGCACAAACAAACCGTTTCACATGTGGAGCACTTGCTCTGGTAGTTGGACCAAGAAAAAAGGAAGGAGGGTTTAGTTTTAGTTTCAGTAAATGTTTTATAATGGCTCTTGAAACACAATAAGGTCATTTAAGTGCTGAAGACTAGAGGTGTTACAAGATAGAAACAAACAAAAAAAAAGGAGGAGAAATCAGGATGACAGATGTTTTGTAAGAAAGAAGGAGCAAACTACACCAGAGCACCCGCGAAGGAGGGTTTAGTCATTGTTTAATGACAGCACAATACAACCACATGCAGGCAGGAAACAGAAAATGATAGAGCATAACGAAATCTTTTGTCATGTATACATTTAATTGGGTTTCAGTTTTGAACAAACAGATGCATGACCACGAAAATAGCTTTAAATTAAATACAGTCGAACCTGTGTAAGATGGAATCGCAAGGAACCAGTCTTAAATGAAGTTGTCAAAATATGCACGTACGTGCATTGACAGACCAAAAGAACAGAAGGAAAGAAAAGAAGTAGGGCCTACCAGCTTGTTCGCTTGTTTGAGTAATGAGAAGCATGTTGCCCCAATAATAATTCATTAATGGTCATTTAGTGTAATAAAATAGCAAAACAGATGGATAGAAACAACATACGGAATGAAAAGAAGTAGAACCAACCAGCAGCACTCTCTAACCACCAGTAACACTAAGAAAAAACCATCACAACTCACATTTGACGACGCTTAATCAAACCAAAAAAAAAGACAATCACAAAGTAATACAATGACCACAAATGTTTATTTTATTTCACAATCTTGTTTTCCTTTACAATGCTGAAGCATGGCAAAGCTTCACTTGCTATTGCAAAATGGCAGGTTCCTCAGACAAAGCTATCTCTCCGGGGAAATTACACGCCAAGATTAAGCTTAGAAAAATAAAATGTCATAAAGTATACCGTGACATTTCAATGAATAAAACGAACGTAAAATACATAGACAACAATAAGACAGCAGATGCATCAACAATCTACAGTAGGCCTATAGTGCACACACACACACACAGCGAGAACACGCACATAGCAAACAGATTTTAAGGTCCCAGATTTTTTCTTACATGCGTTTATATTCTTTCTATTTAAAAGTACACAGTTCCAAAGAGACATTAAATATTAAAGTATTTATCTTATTTTACCAATATATATATGCAAAATGAAACAATTTCCATGTCTCACTGATTTCACTATGTGTTTGCTGCATTAGAATCCAGCAGGAAAAAAAATTCTTTTTAGCAAAAAAAGGATCAAAATGTATACTCAAAATCTACTCGTAATGAACACAAAAAGAAATTTTAACAGAAAAAGGGCTGAGAAATCGTATAAATAAATCATTTCATTTATTCTAAGCTGAAGATCTATGACATAAATGTGGGATGCTGACAGGGAAGGAATAAAAGCTTGAGAGGCCACTGGAAAGGTAACTGCCTCTTAGGGAATTTTCATTTTTCATTGATACATGTAATCTGCACCTCATATGACGTTTATAGCTTTCTGCTGCTGCATGGAATGAGCATTTTCCTCTCTTTAAATAAATCTTAATCATCAACACTTTTCTAGATAATTCAACATTTATAAATTCTGCGTGTGAGGTGAAAAAGACTTTTACACTGGTTTCTTCTGTAACTTAGAATTCGGAAAGATGATGGGAACCCAAAAATAATTTTTTCTGATACTTTTTACTACAACAGCGTTATGACCCGAAACTTGTTTTAGTTTGAGTCTCATACTGGGTTACATAAATAGATATTTTACGGCTCTAAGAGAGATGTACTGTGAAGAAGAACAGGACAGTGTCAGTACTGAGAAAGCAGTAGAAGCATAAAAAAGTAATATTGTAGAAACCCCATTGCACACACTGCTCTTACAAACATTCTACACCTATTAATTTCTAGGATCTATATATTTCTAATATTTCATTGAACTTGAAGTAAGGCATCATCACATCATGATATGGGCAAGAATTGTACAGAGTGAAGTTATGACCTGAAGCGACAAGCACAGCAATCTCCCTTCACAGTCGACATGAGCAAAACCATACTGACAAGGAAAATACAATAAACTTTGCTTAAGATGAAGTTAAATGGACAAGAAAAATATCAATCAAATTAACCATGAAAACATCTGATCAGTTCTTCACAATTGGTCCAGGAGATATCCCCTCCCCTGAAAAAAAAGTTATGATTATTTCCAAAAACCAAGTTACCAGGGTACATTTCATTTTAAGCAAAGTCCATTATAGTCCATAAATTAAGTAAGTAAATACATATACAACAACATGAGGTAATCCCTGCATTCTCAGCCAAAGCACAGACCCATCACAAAATTTTGTTTGGGTAAAACACACCACAAACAATGGATGGCTTGGAAAAAAAGTAATACGGAAAGTTTAATGTAAATCTTATCCTAAACAGAAGTTCAGTAATTAATCCACTTTCGAAACAAACTAAGAAGAGAAAAAAAATCCCTTCCCTTTTCAATGAAACTTACTGAAACACAGTCAGCTACATTGAGCCAGCTACAACATAGCCCCAAACTCAATGATTATTCAGAAGTATATTTTTACTGA